CCGCGTCGTGCATTTCGTGTCATTGCCCTTCGTCCCGCTTCGATTTGTCTAGATGTGATCCAACCGGGTTCAAGTGCCTGAATAGCGTATCTACCGAAGCAAATACGATTGCCTCGATAAGATAGTCCTTTCATTCTTCCTCTATGGTGTTTACGAAATTTAGTTCTTTTGGGGTTATAGTTGATGGTTGTTTCTCAATTCCATCTCTACTACAGAACCGGACATGAGAGTTTCTTCTCATCCAGCTCCTCGCGAATGAAACGATTCAAAAAAATATACATGTATTTACTGAATAATAGATTGAATCATGAGATTCTTTKAGATTCCATTTAATCTATTAGAAATTTGTATATCCTCTTTTTATTTTGATAGCTATTCATCCCAGCCTACTAACTTCACAAAAGCAACTACTCACAAGAACACAACCGAGTTCACAAAGTTTTCAAGCTTGGAATCAAATGAACAAATGAATGGAAATAAGAATCACCTGAATGGTGGAAAGAAAGCAATTCAGAGATGAGTGCGGGTCGTCCGGAACGCCAAGTGATGAAAGGAGCGATGGGTCCTCTTTTGAGAATGGAAACGATGTTCTTAATCCGGTCGGAGTTTTCTGGGTGCTTATCCAACACGTCGAGAAAACCTGGATCGTCTCCGGTGTCGAATACACCATTGCCGGTGTCGTGATTGAGCATCCCCTCGTGCCAAAACACATCGATTCGGTTGGGAGGTGAATCCGCCATGGCAGAAGCTCGAATTCAGTGGAGGAGTTGAGAATCAATAGTATCTGTTAAATTTAATGTAGAAATAAGAAAAAGCTTCTTTAATTTCAACGGTGCGGGGCTAGCTCAGTTGGGAGAGTGTTAGACTGAAGATCTGAAGGTCACGTGTTCGATCCTCGTTCACCGCAAATATGTGTTTTCATTTTCATTTTTGTTTTAAATTTGGACTGTTCTAAATTTCGGCTCTGGCCCAACCCAAGTTTTTGCTTTTATGACAATAAAAAATAGTTAATTTCAATTTAGTCCTAATCCTAGATTTTAATTTTTTAAAATTTTTATAAGAATAATTACATATTAAAATTATAAGTACACTTTAAACTACAATTTAAATTATTTCTTAATTTTAATTATTATCCAATACAAAATTGATTCTTCAAAATATTAATCAACAGAAAAAAATGAAAAAGGTAATTTTAAAAATTTGTTAGCTATGACAAAAAAAAAGTATCAAACTTCAAGTTTTTGCTTTTATGACAATAAAAAATAGTTAATTTCAATTTAGTCCTAATCCTAGATTTTAATTTTTTAAAATTTTTATAAGAATAATTACATATTAAAATTATAAGTACACTTTAAACTACAATTTAAATTATTTCTTAATTTTAATTATTATCCAATACAAAATTGATACTTCAAAATATTAATCAACAGAAAAAAATGAAAAAGGTAATTTTAAAAATTTGTTAGCTATGACAAAAAAAAAGTATCAAACTTGTTTAAATTACCACTTCATATCTAATATTTTAACTTTCTAACCTAATGTATTGAGATTTAAAATTACTTTTAAGTTTTAACTTTCATAACTTTCATATTCTACTCTGGATTGTCAAGATATACAAAGTTAAAAAGAAGTATTTTTAAAATTTTCAAATTCTCATTAACCAAAATTTTGAAGAAATTTTTTTTTTTCATGTATTTACTTTAGTAAATCAGGTTTATTTAGATATTATCCAATTCAACATCTTATTTTAATCTCTTAAAACATTTTTTTAAATCTTAATCCAAAGTAAAAAAGTAAAAAATAAATGTATGATAAGAATTTGGACTTTATTATTTCATTATTCAAATTTTAATGAAATTTTTTTGAATAAAATTATACCTAATTAGAGATAAAAGGAAAACAATAGATTCATTTTAGACGAGAGATAAAGCTGAATTCGAAAAGATTTTTATAAAATTATGCTATTTTATTAAAATCAAGCATGATCTTTATCATTTCATTATTTAAATTTTAATAAAATGTGTTCGAATCAAATTAAAACTAATAAGTAGTCAAAAAAAATTAAAACTAATTAAAGATAAATCAAAATTAATATATTCATTTAAAAAATAGAAGCTCAAAGGAAGAGATTCATTTCAAATGATGGTAGATCTTAATAAAGTTTATTTAAATTAAATTAAAACCAATTAACAATAAAGTGAAATATTCATTAAAAAATTAAAAAAATGAAAAAAGAGAAGATTCATTAATTTCAAAATTATGCAAAATTTTAACAAAGTTTGTTCTGAATTGAATTAAAACTAAATTAAAGATAAAATCAAAGATCATTTTCAAAAAGAGAAATTTATTTGGAGAAATTCATTTCAAATTATTATATTGGTGTAGATTTCCGAATTTTATACTATATATCTAAAAATCTTAATTTTTTTATTTATATTGAAAAAATGTAATACACCAAATTAATCAATTAGATGAAATCTCATAAATCATTTTTCACAACATTGGGTGAAATGAAATCATAATCTTGCTAATAATAATAATAATGAGATACTTGGGATTTAAAATCACTTTTAACTTATCAATAAAACTAAAAGGAAGTATCCTCTAAAATTTTAAATTCACTAAACCAAAATTTTCAGAAAAAAATGTTTTGGTTGAGTATAAATCAATTTTATTTTTCAAATTAAACTTATTTAATCATTATCCTAATTCGTTGTCTTATTTTAATCTCTTATATTTTAGTAACATTATTTCAAATAATTTAAAAAGTTAACCAAATATATATATATATATATATATATTACCAAAATCGTGACTGATATTTATATTTTATTATTCAAATCTTAATAAAAATTGTTCGGAAACCAATTAAAAATAAAACAAAAACAAGAGATTCATTTTAAGATTAAGAAATCACACCTACAAAGATTTGTTTTCAATTATTATATTTTATAATAAAATGGGGATATGTTTTTATCATTTCATTATTTAAATTTTAATAAAGTTCGATCAAATTAAATTAAAACTAATAAAAAATTAAACGAAAACAATAGATTCATTTTAAAAGGAAAAACTAACTTCGGAGATTCATTTAAGTTAACTTTTAGTAAATTTTGTTTGAATCAAATTAAAACTAATTAAAGATAAAACCAACGATTATTTTAAAAAAAGAGAAACTTACCCGAAAATATTCCTCTCATATATAATTATATTTGCATACAATTTTAAATTTTCTATCCTATCTAAAAATATTTTTTTTTTATTTTTCAATTAATATATACATAATGGAATACACCAAAATAACCATAATATTAAGATAAAATCTTATGAATAATTTTTAATATATATATATTTATATATTTTTGCTTGAAAAAGATACTGAGTCAGGCCAGGCCAGACAAATTTCACATTTGAAAATATTAAGATAAATGAAATCATAATCTTTTATAATCTAGATAATAATACCTCTTTTAGATTTTCTATTCAAATTACTGAAAACGTCATTCAATTTTCTATATAAAGGAGACTTGATGAAGAGTTCTATGTACCACCAACAATTTTCTATTAGGGAAACAACTACACTCAATAGAAATAATGGAGTTCTCAAAGCTCTCTCCCATGGCTGTTCTCTTTTCCTTTTTCGTGTTTTCTCTTCTCCTAACCCCTTCCTTTGCTGCTAAAAAGGTTTTCCATTTGTTTAAATGCATACTTCAAATTTGTTTCTGCTTTTTTTCATTTGTTATTTTTTTTAATTAAATTTTTTTTTGGATTCATTTAGCCATATGTGGTGTTATTGGGATCCCATTCACATGGCTTGGAAATTTCAGAGGTGGATCTTCAAAGGGTGGCTAATTCCCATTACAGATTGCTTGGATCCTTATTGGGAAGGTTCAAAATTTTCCTTATTATAATCTTTTTAATTTAATTGTTTATTTTTGTTTAATTTCTTTTTCAAGATATTTAATTTGGATTTTATTTTTCCTGAAAATTGCAGTACTAAAAAGGCAAAGGATGCCATATTTTACTCCTACAAGAAGCATATAAACGGCTTCGCAGCAGTCCTGGAAGAGGAAGATGCAGCTGCACTTGCAAGTAAAAATCCATTCAATTATTTGAATAATTCAAAATAGAATTCTATTCCATTTATTCTTCCATCATCTTGTAAAATTATGAAAAAAATGTTCAGAGCACCCAGAAGTTGCAGTAGTTTTAGCAGATGAAATGATGAAATTACACACAACTCATTCATGGGGCTTCATGCATTTGGAGAGAAAAAATAGTTCAATTCCCTCTTCTGCATGGGGAAAAGCCAGATTTGGAGAAGACACCATTATTGCCAATCTCGACTCTGGTAAAAAAAACAATTTCTTTAATTTCTGTTATTTTTTGAATTCCAATTTAATTTTTTGAATTCTATTTTTTCAGGAGTGTGGCCTGAATCAATGAGCTTCAGAGACAGTGGCATTAGAAAACCTATCCCTTCCAGATGGAAAGGATCCTGCGAGCAGGGATTCCCCTGCAACAGGTTTTTTTTCTTAATTTTAATAAAGTTTTTATTTTTTATTATATTGACAGAAAATGATAATAAAAAAAATATGCAGAAAATTAATTGGAGCAAAATTCTACAACGAGGGTTACATGGCATACATGCGGAATATGAACCCAAATTTTAACGTGTCCACCGTGGCCAACTCCGCCCGGGATGACGCCGGCCACGGCAGCCACACGCTCTCCACGGCCGGCGGCAACTTCGTGGCGGCCAAGAACGTGTTTGGGTCATCCGGGTTCGGGATGGCAAAAGGCGGGTCGCCCAAGGCCCGATTGGCCGCGTACAAGGTTTGCTGGGGTTCCAATGTCGGCTGCCCCGGCGCCGACATTCTGCAGGGTTTGGACGACGCCATCCACGACGGTGTCGACGTCGTTTCTTACTCAATTGGCGGCGTTATTGTGCCTTACTACCAAGATTTCTTCGCCATCGCCTCCTTTCAAGCCGTTAAGAACGGTATCTCCGTCGTCTGCTCCGCCGGGAACGCCGGCCCCGGCCCCGGAACCGCCGTCAACCTCGCCCCTTGGTTGTTCACTGTCGGTGCCAGCACTTTGGACCGCCGGATTGTGGCTGCTGTTCAGCTTAATAATGGCCAACGTTTTCAGGTAATTAATTCCTTATATATATTTAAATATTGTCCTCAACATTGGAAAATTGAGATAGGACTAAAATCTTGTCCTCCCATCTGATAATTTTTAAAAATAATATAAAAATAAAACTTTTTTTAAAAATATAATGAGTTGTAAATTCTTTGATGGTAGCGAAGACAATTTGATTTCCAGTATTATCATAAAATCTTTAAAATAATCACCCTTTGAATTTTTGTTTGCTAATTTTGGAACAAACATAAACAAATAATTAATCTCTAACTTTGTTTTTTTTGATGAAAACTAGGGTTCGAGCCTTTCGAAGGGTTTGCCGGAAGAGAAATATTATCCATTGATAAGCGGAGGTCAAGCGGCGGCCGGCGGAGCATACATCAACGACGCCATGCTGTGCAAGGCCGGAGCTTTGGATCCGGCGAAGGTGAAGGGGAAGATATTGGCATGCATGCGTGGAGAAACAGCGAGAATCGATAAGGGAACTGAAGCCGCCAAGGCCGGCGCCGTCGGGATGATCCTCTGCAACGACCAGCGCGACGGTGAAGGGACCTACTCCGACATGCACGTGCTTCCGGCTACCCACATTGGCTATCAAGCTAGTCTCGCCGTCTTTGACTACCTCGATAACACTCAGTAATACCCATCTGTCTGATAGTCATTTATTGAGTCAGCTTGTACTAAATTTCGTGCTAATTTTCGAGTTCTCGTTAATCCTTAGAAATCCAATGGCATATCTTGTACCACCATCTGAGAAGTTCGACTTGAAGCCTGCTCCAACCATGGCTGACTTCTCGTCCCGAGGACCCAATGTAATTACGCCAGAGATTATCAAGGTTTGATTCCTTTTACTATTCTAAAAATTTGGTGGGTTACAGTAAATTTAATTTGGTTTGAATTTAATTGACTAATTTTTACAGCCTGATATCACTGCTCCTGGAGTTAACATTATAGCAGCTTATACTCAATCACATGGCCCCTCCGAAGATCCCTCCGACGGCCGCAGGGTTCCTTACATGACCATGTCCGGAACATCCATGTCTTGTCCACACATCTCCGGCGTCGTTGGCCTTCTCAAAACTCTCCACCCCGATTGGAGTCCCGCTGCGATTAAATCTGCGATCATGACCACTGGTCCGTTAAAAAATTATACTTGTTTGTTCACAATTTATTTGAGGTATTTTTTCCATTCTCATAACATTGCTTCTCAATTATTATGAGCAGCGAGAGTAAGAGACAACACAATGAGCCCGATGATTGACGGTGGCTCGCCACGTGGCGACCCTGCGACGCCGTTCTCCTACGGCTCGGGCCACGTCCAACCGGTCGCCGCCATGGATCCCGGGTTGGTCTACGACCTAACCACCGAGGATTACTTGAACTTCCTCTGTGCCCTAGGGTACGACTGGAGCATGATCAGAGCCTTCTCCGACGACACCCCCTACGACTGCCCGCCTTCCGCCAGTCTTCTCGACTTCAACTACCCGTCCATCGGAGTTCAAAATCTTAACGGACAAGTAACGGTCACCAGAAAACTGAAGAACGTCGGATCTCCGGGAGTCTACAGGGCGAGCGTCCGCCGGCCGGAAGGAGTCGCCGTTACGGTAGAGCCGAGGGTGTTGAGGTTCGAGAATGTCGGGGAGGAGAAGAGCTTCAGTGTTACGCTCGCCGGAAAGTTGCCGCAAAACGCCGTCGTCGACGGGACTCTGATTTGGTCCGACGGCAAGCACTTCGTCAGAAGCCCTATTGTGGTTTCGTCTGGCTCATTTATTTAGGGTTTAGGAATTTTTTTTTAGTGATTTAAGAGATATTATTAGTAGGTAGGGGCATTTAAATTTTTTTTTTCTTTTTTTCAAATTTATAGTGCGTTTTAGTTTAGTAATGATTTTGGAAATTGGGTAGTTTTTAATATTTTTGGAGAAATATAGGGTGTTGACGACATGATTTAATTTGTCAATGCATTTTTAAATATAATAGATTAATTTCTAATGTTTATTTTTATTTTAAAACTTTCAATTTTTTTCCCAACATATATCAATTTAATATTTCAATATAACTTGATATATTCTATGTTTCATTCACTTACCAATTAAAAAAAAATCTCCCAAACTCATTAATTTAAAAAATAAATAAATATTAATGCACTAAATTAAACTCTAATCGACCATCAATAAATTTTCGGTATTATAAAAGTTAAAAATTGAATCAGGTATTAATGGTTTTTGAAATTTTAAAATTACCATGATATAACATTCAAAATAGATTTTAAAATAACAAAATCAATAACCAAAAACTGTTAATTTTAGGAGTCCAAAAAAGAATATACAAACAATATGATATGCTCTATTATTTATTCCTCGTCTCAAACTTTAAAATTTCACGTAGGTAAAGTTATGTTCACAGTCAGATTTCTAGCCTGTTTAGGTCACGTTAATTGTTATGAATTTGTTCACTTTCAAATAATAGAGATTATTCTAATGTGAATATCATATTTTTATTATTCTTTTTTTAATAGGATATTTTCATTATTGATGTAATATATATTTGTCCATAGAATTAAAAATTGATATATAAAAATAAAGTTAAATTTATATGTTTTAACCATTATTATGGTTTTTTATTTCTAAAAAAAAAAGAGAAATTATTATGGTCTTTTATAAATTTAATTTATTAAGTAAAAATGTTTTTTTTTTTACTTTTTTTTTTGTTCTCTTAGGACTAAGTTGGTTCTCAAAACCAAGAAACAGAAAACAGAAACATTACTAAGTTAGGCGCACTCAGAGCAGTTGAAGGTCAGTGTGGTGAGGTATTGGAAGTCTTCAGCGAATCGAGAGAATGTGCTAATTATTTCTCTAAAAGGTTAAGTTTTCATCTTGACACCTCTAACACTTTCAATTAGTCCCAGGGTGAATCAATATTCCCATATTACTGTATAATAATTTGACAAAGTATTAAAAAAAAAACTACAAATATATTAATATTAATAAATTTTGAGTAAAATACTTATTTAGTAATTTAATATTTGCCATTAATTTTTTGAAGAAATTAAAAATATATATCAAAATATTAAAGCCAAAATCTTGAGCAAAATAAGCTAACGCTCCTCAATTGTCCTTTCCTTTCATCACCCATGGCCGACTCCGTCGCCGCCATGCCGGCCGCTGCGTGTTCCCCTCCAATAATCCCCTTCCTTCCAAGAACTCTACGTCGTCGGGATAATCCTCGCCTTTATACATATTTCTTCGAATTATGTTCGAATTGACTTTCTAATTCGATAAATATTTGAAGAAAATCTACCTAAAAATAATATCAACCTCTAACTAGCTACAAAGAACCGATACTTTAATGAAAAACTTAAATGTGATTATATTTTAGAACTTCTTAATATGCTTAGTCTCTTTAACATGTACGCATTTGCTAATATATGGAGAACCTTACTGGTTTATATTGAATAACTAAATTTTTGTATAAAAATTAAATTAGATGATTACGTAGGTTTTTTAAACAAAAATAACGACAAAATTAATTATAAAATTTATATTTTCAATCATGACCACATCCATGCAGACTTTTGGTAAAAAAAAAAAATTTGGTAAATAAAAAAGTATATAAAATAAAAGTTGAACGAAAGGGTATTTATATAGGAAATTGAAGAAGGGTGCACTAACCATTCAAATCCAAAAACATTTAAAAATAAATTATTACTTATGATTAACATAGCTAGAGTCATAATTTATGTAGCTAATTTTTAGAAATCAATTAACAAAATTGCTTTAAAAGAAAAAATTTCCATGAAATGGAAGAGTTGGGTGACTTTGAGTACGATGAATGAGTTGAAAGATCTCTATACAAGTCTCGTAGAACCTGTAAATTGTGGTGCGAAATACTTCCGTGCACCTACGTCACTCGGATGGGGGAGCGAATCAAAAAACTCAGTTTCGTGGAACGGACCAATCTTCCGTACCATTTCCGTCCGGTTTTATAATTCAATATTTTTATATTCCAATAAAAAAGTTCTAAATAGACACACTTAATAAACCTGAAGCAGAGAATCCACCATTTTTGCACACTAAACCCACCAATAAAAAAAAAAAACACAAAGACCCATAAAAAAAATCTATCATAGAAATCAAATAAAAGAAAACCTCAACTCAAAATTAAACTCTCAAAATATTTGAACATGTTGTTGTCACCGGAGTTTCAGACCCAGAAGAAGATGATGAAGTGATCAGTGTCCCCAACGGTGGAGCTGTGGACGGAGATTTCGCTCTCGGGAGAATCGGCCGGCGGCGTTATCGTCACCGGATTATGAGACCCAGAGAAAAAAAAATCAGCCATGGAAATAAGGAAGGGTAATCAGGTCTTTTCCCCTCTCAAAAGTCCAAAACCCCCTAAAACCCTCACTTCGATTTCAGAGTCTCTCTCTGCTACATTTCGCCGGAGCTCGATCGGCGTTCAATCGCCATGTCGGGATTCCAGTTCGGATCTTCCTCCTCCCAATCTTCTTCTTCTTCTTCTGCTTCCCCATTTTCTTCAAGCTCTGGATTCGCATTCGGATCCACCTCCACCTTCTCTTTCGGATCATCCCCTTTCCCTGCAACATCCTCCTCAAACCCTTCCCCCTTGTTCGGTGCTCCTTCGTCTGCAGGTAGCTCAGGTGGGTTAGCTTCTTTCACGTTCGGGACTGCCCCATCGGCCGGGAGCTCATCTGGCTCCCTTTTTGGGGCTGCTCCGGCCGCCGGCAGCTCATCTGGGTCCATGTTTGGGGCTGCTCCRTCCGGGAGCTCTGCTTCYTCCGCCGGGAGTTCTTCTTTTTCTCTCTTTGGGGCTGCCCCATCTGCAGGGGCCTCGGCGCCATCCTTGTTCGGAGGGGCGTCTTCTGCACCCACTACAACTCCGGGATCAGCTTTGCCTGGCGCATCTGCGGCCGCTTCTGGTTCTATTTCGCCTCTGTTTGGGACAGCTTCATCTTCAGGAAGTTCAGGTTCAGCTTTGTTTGGGGCTTCGTTATCCACGAACAGTTTGGGGTCAAATCCCTTCGGTACATCTTCATCGGGCTTGTTTGCGTCATCTACATCATTAGCATCGACCTCTCCGTTCCAGAACTCTTTTTCTTCAAGTTCTTCCCAAAATTTAAGTTCGTCTTCACCATTTGCGGCTTCTTCTTCTTCTGGATTTTCGTTTCCGACCACTTCTTTTTCCAAAGCTACTACTAGTGTCACTGCATCTTCTTCTTCTTCTCCTCTTACATCAGCTTCAACTAGTTCGTTGAGCTTCTCATTCGGAACACCTGCTTCCTCAGCGTCTCAATCTTCCTTTGGGTTTAGTAATAGCAATGCAGCATCAACGGCGGCGTCTGCTGCTCCAGGGACTACTGCTACGAAGCCTACTTCTCTATCGTTTTCGACTTCTGTGGCACCTTTATTCTCTACGGTTACTACTACCAGTGCTTCAACTCCAACTGCCAGTAGCACAACTCAATCATCATTCTCTGTGCCAGCTTTTAGTTTGAGTTCTTCAGCTGCTACTACTATATCCACAGCAGCATCCTCCACTCCCTCAGCTGCTTCCTCAGGTGCTGCAAGTTCATATACAGGTTTTGGTGTCACAAACACAGCTTCTTCATCAAGTGCAATTGTTTCCTTATCGTTGCCAACCAAAACACTGACTGCTTCTTCATCATCGCAAGCACCAGCCTCTTTTGGTAAGTTTTTCACTTTCTTTTTTGAATTCTTGATGCTTAATTTATTTTATTGGCCAATGTGAATGAGTTTCGTGAGTCATGTTGTTAAGATTTTTTACCCAGGTCCCAATCTGAATGATTGGAATAGGTGGAGTGGATAGTGCTTAAGGAGTAGGTTTGTTGGGAGAGAAAGGAGTTTCATTTTCAAATTTGTTTGTTTGGGAGAAGAGTTTTTTCGTCAACATTTTTTTGAAGTATCTCTTTGGTTAGTTGTGAGACTTTTCCACTTGCATCATGGATTCTCCTATACAAGTTTCTAAGGAAGACATTGTTTCATTCCTCAAGTTCATTTCATTTCTTTTCAGTTTTCTTTTTCATTTCTTTTCTTTCATTTCTCTCTTTTTTTTCTTTTCCTCTACTCCATCAAGAGATTCTTTCTTCTTTTATTTTGTCAATCTTCCCACTATAATAGCATGGGAGAATTTTTGTTTCTTTTTACATTTGGATGTAATCACTAACTATTTAGTATTGATCTTGTTTAGCTATGTTTACTATATAAATTTATGCTCTATATATAATTTTTATTTATGTATTAGGGTGCGCCTCGCTTCACTTAGGTCTCGCCTTTTTGTCGCCTCTCGCCTTAAGGCGATCAAAGAGCTTATCACCTTGAGGTGCGCCTTGCAAACACATTGCTGCATCCAAATAAGGGAAAATTTATTTGACAAGCCTGTTTCTTCATAGTTTTATGGGGTATTTGGATTGAGAGAAACAAACGAGCTTTTAACAGGGTCGAGTTGTTCTTGGGTGGATGTTAGGGATATTATTAGATTTAATATCTCTTTATGGGTTTCTATTTCTAGGAATTTTTGTAATTATCAATTAGGTGTTATTATATTGGAATTTGGATTGAAGGCCATTATTTTAGGTTTGGGCTATTTTTCCATATGGCCTTGTATATTCTTTCATGATTCTCAATGAGAGCTTCGCTTATATATAAAAAAAACGTAAAAACTTGATTCTTTAGTTTATGCATCTTACATGTTTGAGCATGGGCATTACTACCTAGAGTGTTGGCACTTTGTATTTTGAGGTGTATGAGCAAAGTTAGTAGATTTTGTAGTAAATCTATTTAGCTTGTACCTTAGCGAGAGAAAATGGGTTTGTTTACCGTTACCCAGTAGTTTTTGCTATGGACGCCCTTGGATTTGGTTAGTTGGAAAGGGTTTTTTTCTTTTTTTTTTTTAGGGTAATTCTCCCCAGCTTTGGTTTGGATTTTGCTTTATTTAGATCTTTAGAGCATCAATGTTGAAGATTTGAGGTTTAAGTTCCTAAATGGAATTGGATGCCTGATAGGAACCATAAATCGAAAGGGAAATGGATAGAAATATGATATTGAAATTTCGAATAGAATAACCATAACTTTATAGGAACCAAAATCTCCCCCAAGTTCAATATGCTCATCCATTGAATTCTCACTTGAACTCCCGGAAGGATCCAATCCAACTCATCTAAATCCTTAATTATATTAGAAATCCCCTGCTTTTGAACTCTAAAAACCCTGATTACCTCTAGATTCTTGACTTTAGTTTAGATTTGAGAGATTTTAGTTTCTGTATGCATTTAAACCTCTCCTATCTTCAAACATCAATTTTACACCACTCAGGTATAGAGACACCTTTACAGAGACATGTTGAAGCCGTACATTTTCTAATTGAATTGGACCAAGTCCCCCACTTGACATTCTCAGTAAAGAATCTAAGAGGTCATTAATTAGAAGTAAGTTTGATACAGAGACAGACTAGCAATCTGACACTTCTAAAATAATCAGCCACCTTTTAGATACTAGAAAGCTGTCTTGACATTCCACATTATCGGGCAGATTTGACCAAGTAAATCTATCATTTATGGGGGAAATCAGACAAACCACACTTTTCAACGAACTTATTGAAAAAACACATGGACATGTAGTTTGACCCGAAGGATACTTCTCCAAAGCAAACCTCACAAATTACTACCGCATGAGTAACAGACTTCTATTTGATTACTAATGTTTATGAAGGGTATCTAAGCATCTTCAACCCACATAAATGTGTTGTTGTTGAAGTTTATAATTTAGCTTCAGTACTTTGTTAATGTGTCTGTTTTTACAAAATTTTGTGTTTATTCTTTGCAGGTTTCCCTTCTTTGGCTTCTGCTCCCACTGCTGCTACCACTACGTCTGGTTTTAGTGCTCCAAGTCAGAGTCAGACTTCATCAACTCTTGTTGTCGCATCCAGTAGTAGGTCTGTATGTGGTCCTGCTACTTTTATAGTTCTTTTGGATAAGTAACTTTCATATTAATACAAACAAAAAGGGGAAACAAGCTAGGGGCTGGGGTAGAGGGAACCCCACCCAACTGAAACTAGACAAACGCTTTCAAGTTGTTCGTGAACAAGGAAAGGTCGTAATTACAAGAGAATTTCCTGTAATTAATGCACCCCCAAGAAGCATTGTGCTATACATTGCTACAAAAAATGTCTAAAGGAGTAGATTCGTCCTCGAAAACCCGGGCGTTCCTTTCTAACCATAGATGCCATAGGAGAGCTCTTGAGGCACAATTCCACACAATTTTAGCCTTTTTAGGGAGCCACCAGCCTTGTAGGACTTCTGAAAGCCAATCATCAATCTGCTTGGGAAGACAAACGGAAGTGGTGAAGAGGTTTAAAATGAAACACATTTATTTTCATCAAGGGTGCATGGGTTATATTATTTATTTTCATCATCCTTAGGTTGGATTTGGATTCTCTTCTTCTTCTCTTCTGTTTGAATGTTATTTATAGAGGGAGTAAGGCCATGCATTTGAGCTATTAGTTATTATGTTTGTTCTGTCTTTAAGATTTTAAAAAATTTATTCTCCTTTTTTTCAAAGAAATAGTTTTTTCTGCATTGTTAAAAAATATAATCTAGACATGATGCATTTCTACTATGTCAAAAGCTCTATTAACCCATTCCACTATACATTAATACCTGTATGGTGAAATGGTTGTTATGAGGAATTCAATTATTTAGACTCCCATCTCCTTCACCCTCCTTTTATCCAGTGGTACAACTTCACCAGTTAGCGCTGCAGTGTCTACTACTACACCAAAACTACCATCTGAGATAACAGGGAAGACTGTTGAAGAGGTACTACTAAATTGCTATTTCTTCATGATTGTGGCATCCGACTTCTGTACTGTGCATTTTAGTGGTCTAATTTTATCAAACAGTTCTTTATGGTATGTAACAAAAGTTTAAACTGAGTCTAGAAAAGGAATCAGCACATACCTCATTACCAGTGATGGTGTGTTTGTGTTAGTTTAGTGCTGAGAATATTAGTCATCTTGCTCATCACTGTGGATGGGCTTCCTTGTTCTTTTGATTACGCTTGGTGTATGCTTAAGAACACTGTGGATTTTCTTCTTGAAGCTTGTGCTGGGCTAGATTGAGCTGTTAAGGCATTGGTTCTTTTGTGGGATTTCTATAGAGCTCTTTGTTCGTTTTTGTACTTAGAAGAAAATGGTAGGATCATTTAAGACAGTCATGGACCTAGGGGAGTTTATGGGTTGGTTCATCTGCAAGCTTCTAGTTGGAGTCCTTTCGGAAATTTTCTGACTATTCTTTTAATTAATTGAGAAGTTTTCAGTAATGCCTTGTTGGTTTTAGGTGGGGATACCTTATCTCCCACCGCTTTTTATGTACTAACATCTTTTAATGCATATTCCTTTGTGTCTGGATGGAAAAAAGAGAGAACTTATTGTTAGGGTATTGGGTATGGTAAAGGATATTAATGTTCTTGTCCAATTCAAGAAATAGTAATGATGTAAGAAATAAATTGATGGCTTAATCACACATCTAGTAATGACCTTACTCGAACAAGATCTTTCTATGGGTTGTACAAGTACAATTATATTCTCGAGTTCTAAAAAATATGCATCTAGTAATGAAAATGTCTTCAAAAACTTGTGTTGCAATTGTTCCATTTCATCCAGGGAAGTACTTTTCTTTTAGTTTAAGTTGACCTTAGTTCAAATAAATTACCTGTTTCTAAATGTTATTGAAGAAAGAGGCATCCATAAGGGATCTATGGGAGGAAGAATCTAGCTGCTGGAATTTGGGTCTTAGAAGACATTTAAAGGATGAAGAAATTGCTGACTGGGTGTTTCTCAACCAGCAGCTCTCTGCTGTCCATTTGTTCACAAGAGCTGACATCATGGTATGGAAATTAGAAGCTAATGGTATTTTTTCCACCAATTCCCTGATTAAGGACTTAACACACCACAACCTGGACCCCTCACCCCATCTTGCTGACGTCATTTGGAAAGATTTCTACTCAAGAAAGGTGAAATTCTTTCTTTGGGAGCTCAGTCACCGTGCCATAAACACTAATGATAAACTTCAAAGAAGACTGCCACATGGCTTTATCCCCCCAATGGTGCTCAATCTGCCAATCCAATTTGGAGACCCAACAGCATCTTTTTGTCACATGTCCATATGCATCAGTTTTCTGGGACTACATCCTCAACGCTTTTGGTTGGTCCACGGTATTGTCAACAGATCCTCCCTTCCTCATTGCATCCACGCTTGCAGGCCACCCTTTTAAATAGGAAAAATAGCTTCTCTGGATGAATTTCATTCGAGCTTTCTTTTGGCTTCTTTGGGGAGAAAGAAATCAAAGAACTTTCAATGCCAAATTTCTCCCTTACGAGCGGCTTTTTGATGCTATAGTCTATCTAGTTATGACATGGTGTAAAGGCTCTCCTCTTTTCCATCACTATAGTTACCATTACCCTTATAGCCAATTGGAAGTGCTTCATGTAATCCCTCTATGGGACTTTTGTAATTTCATGTTATCAATGAAATTGTTTCTTTCACAAATAAATGTTATTGAAAATCCTGTTCTTGCCTTGTTCACTGAATCCACATACAATGCACGTCTCCAACATTGTTTAGTCTTTTACCTATTTTAGTAATTAATTGTTTTTATTTTATGCCTCTTGCTATTTTCTTTAATTTATTTACAGATCATCAAAGAGTGGAATGCAGAGCTTCAAGAGCGTACTGGGAAGTTTCGGAAGCAGGCCAATGCTATTACTGATTGGGATAGGAGGATTTTGCAAAATCGTGATATCCTCCTTAGACTTGAGGTGTTATGTCACATGATTTTAATATTTTTAACCTTGAATGATATGAAATTTTACAGGCCACTGTATCTGTTCTAATGAAACATGTTCAAATGATTATCAAAAAGATTTTCTAGTTTGTGAATGTTAAATTTTTGGATTATTTATCATAGGTACCGTGCACCCTGCCTCTTCCATAGGGTCCTAATATGCACGGGCTGAGCTCTTAGCTTATTTTCTGGAAAGTCTTGAATTTAGTGTCCACATCCTTAGCTTATTCTTTTCTTCCCTGTTTTTTTCGGTACAATGCTCAGCTTAATTTTCCTTCAATTTTTCTTTTCCGAATTGATTCTAAATTTTCTTTATAAATGAAGTCATTTAAAGAATATGAAAAGTTGTAACAGAGAAACGAGGCAAAGGAGCTAAAGGTAGCCCAATTAGCATAAATGAGGAAAAGGAAATTTTTACCAAGAGTGAGAGTCCTTTTTGAGAAGATACACAAATCCGAAGTAACATAAATGACTAGGTAAAAAGAGTATCAAACTCACCATCTCTCCTTCCAAATTTCCATAAGCGCACGTTCCGATAAGTTATTTCTAATTTGCCTGAAACTAACAATAAAGAGATTATTTTTTTTTTTTGGATAAGAGACAATATATTCAAACATCCAAAAGGAAAAGACAATCTAAGGGCGGACCGGAAACTAAACAATTGCGGCCTTCCAATTTCTAGCTATCAAGCTGTAATTACAAAAGAATTTCTTGTGGTTTATAGACCACCATGAAGCAGCTGTACATTGCTACAAAAACCATCCACCAAGGACTTTTTATCTTGATGAAGCCTACTGTTCCTTTCTCTCCAAATGAGCCATAAGATGGCCCTCGCGGCACAATTCTATAACACAAAAGCTTTGCCTTTTAAGACAATAAAGATAATTTTGTTTCTTGCTTTATCTAAGAAAATCCATCACTGAAGATAGTGTTCCCTCGCTTTCTCCCAAAAATTACCAATTTTCATTAAAGAGAATGAGAGTACAAAAGGACAAGAAAAAATAAAAAAGAGTCCCCAGAAAACAAAAAAATAAAAAGTCCAATGCTGATAAAAAGCAAAGGAATGTTTCTTAAGAGCTTGGGAAGCATCAAAATGCATTGGTCCTACTCCCAAGACCTCTTTACATTTTAAGGATTCTCCTATATCTTTCTTTCTTTCTTTCTTCATTGATCAAATCTGTTATCTTGAACTGTTATTATTATTATTTTTTATTGAGAAGTTCTCTCTCTCTTGATGAGAAACAAATCTTTCCTTGATAAGAAGAAATATACAAAAGAGGACGAAAGAGGGTTCTCTCTCTCTGTCTAAATGTGAAAAGAAATGGATTTATTGCTAGGTTGCTCTAATGTCTTTATTTTGAAATTAGATCGAAGTTGCAAAGGTGGTTGAGACCCAAGCTGAGCTGGAGAGGAAGTTGGAGCTGATTGAAACTCACCAACAAGAGGTATTCACTTATGGCTTTGTGTGCCTTTGTCCTTCAATAGATACTTCTAGCATGGCATTTTTTGCTCTGGGGAGGGGGGGTGATGCATCTTTTGTCAATATGACTCTTCTTGTGCTTGCTTTAGGGATAATTAGCCTATGAATCTTCTCTATATATTGTTGATCTCCGGGGTGCAAGACTCCAGCTAAGTGGCATGAACTAGCAATTGAGGCTGTTGAGTTTGATTGTAGGAGGATCAAGTTAAAATCATTTGCAATCTGTTGATGTTGTCCAACTTTTGGGTCCCATGAGGATGTCTGAGTTATGCTGTTCTTAACATTATTAACATTTTTGAGGGTGCAGGAGATGTGAAGGTTAGCCCGAACAGAACTATTCCATCAGGCATATTAATGTTGATCCTCTGGAGGCTTTTTTTGAACCTAATAAGATTGGCTTTATAGTGGGGCTTTATTCTCTATTATTTGGGAATGCCTCTGGGGCTACTATCTCTCTCCCAAGAACTCTCTCAAATTCCCCACACAATACTATTCTCCAAGATATCCTTCTCCTCTCCCTACCACCTCTATTTATAACAACTCGCCCCTAACTAATTACCATAATACCCTCCCACTAATATACTAATAATATCCCCAAACTATCCTTACTAGGACTCTCACATCTTTGGAATCTTGTGGTTGAAAAAAGGGTGTTTGGAAGGCTTGCTAAGTGGAAAAATGTCAGCATTTTCTTCGCAGGGAGGGAGAATTCCCATTGTTTATAATCTGTTCTTTCATATGTGCCAATCTATTTTTTTATTTTTTTGGCTCCGATTGAATCATCATTTAGGATATTTGTTAAGATTGGAGTCATTAGGAGAATTTTTGCCTTTTTAACAAGAAACTGCTTTTCATTGATTTATGAAAAGGAGAAAAAGAAA